TACTACTACTACTACTACCACCACCACTACTACTACTACTACTACGACTACTACCACGACTACTACTACTACTACTACTACTACTACTACCACTACTACTACTACTACTACTACTACTACTACTACCCCTACCCCTACCCCTACACCCGCCCCTACTCCGACTCCGTCTCCTACTCCTACTCATGCTGCACCCTCTGCGGCTTCTGCTACTCTGCACAAGTAATACACTTCATGTAGTTGAGAAGGTTAGGTTGCTTTGCTCTGCGGCCTCAAACCGGAAAACTCACTGCGTCACGTGTTCGGAGGTCCGTATCAGATGGAGATCGCCGTTTAATGTCCCAAACCCGAACTAGCTCAACCGTAAACAAACCGCGACATGCGAAAGCGCTACATACAGGGTCTCCATATGGCCGTTAGTGCAATCAGAGACGATCTCCTCCAAGCTTACGGGTTTGGGGTTCAGGGTTTGGGTTTGTCTATTTGACGATTTAGCGCTTGGGGTTTGGGGTTCATGTCTTCTTTGGACGGCGCATCGCCGGTGTCTGCGCGGCCCTTGCGCACAGAGAGATCTAAGCATGTACTAATAACAGAAGCTTCAGGGGATAATGACGGATAGTATGTGCTAATAACGGAAAGTTCGAGTACCAGTCAACTAGTCACGGAAGTCACGGAACAAGTGTGTTTGCTCATGATGAATACACACTTTTGCTTCCGGCCCCAGAAAGATAGTGTGAGGTTTGGGGCCTGGGGAACCCGGAAGATTCGTGTGCTTTGGGTTGGGTGCCGTTGCCAACCGCGCCCGCTTGGGGCGGACCACACCAAGCACAGTCATGGCTTGGGTTGGGTGCCGTTGTAGGCACGTCTCACGTGTTGCAAGTGACCCCCCCCCACGCAAACAAACAAACAAGCAAGCAAGCAAGCAAGCAAGCAAGCAAGCAAGCAAGCGAGCGCATAAACAAGCACACACAAACACAAAACAATAACACACGCGCACACACACACAAACACAACACACACTCACTCACTCAAAGTCCCACTCCCACGCGCACTCGCACTCGTATTTGCACTCGCACTCACACGCTCTTTCTCCCTCACTCACGCGTGCTTCAACTGTTCCAACGGTCCCAACTGATTGAAGTGTCCCACTTGTCTCAGGTTGGTGTAGGTGTTCCTAGTGGCCCGGTGTTACACTCTTGGTGCGGCCGAACAGACTTGGTACAGAATCTCTGGAGCAGTGCAAGTTCGCAGGTCTGCTCGTCTCAAGTGTTGCAAATGCCCCACGCACACACATACACACTTTCACACACAGTGAGCGGCCACGAGGCCCGAAGAGTTCTCGCTGCTCTTCACTGATGGTTACACTGCTTGTGTGGTTAGTACACACTGTTTCCGTTATTAGTGCCGAAGCTTCTGTTATTAGTATACAGTCTTTGAAAACACAGAGAATCATCGGGGACTGGCATACCTGTGATTCGAGGCTTAATCACTGCCTCTGCTACTGCCACTGCACACATACTGCGCTGCATTCCGTTAGCATGGTTGGCCTGCTCTTGTGGCCTCAAATCCGACAACTCACTTCGTCGCTCCACTCGCCGGTCAGCCAACTTTGACCTGATCAGGAGCTTCTGAGAGGCTTTCGGGTTTTGGGTTCAATCGCAAGTGCCAATGCATGGACAGATGGGTCTTGGAAATTACTGTCTGCTTAGTAGGGAATGGGGAAACAGATCCCTATGATAGTCCCTTATGACTTAAGGTCCCTTATAGTACTCCCTATAACCCATTCACCGATGCCCTACTAAGCACCAGACAGAATAAACCCTAAACCCTCGAGTCTTGGAAATTAGGATGCAAGGTTTCGGGTTCATCGACCCTGAGCTCCCGGAACTTCTCGTGAAGCCTCCGAGTCGGGCATGTGTGCTGCACTCCGATCCATGGGCGCGTGTCATCCTCCCCGGCCGACTGACCGACGCTCTAATACCGAATAACTCGGAAGTTGCACGTGGATTTGTGGATGACCTGCACTCGGCGCTTATTGAGGGTTTTGTTCCGAAGCTTTGCACTTTAGGTGTTCTAGGAACCTTGTGGGCCACTACTCAGTGCAGTGCAGCACTTGCTGCTCTCCGCTAGCTGTTAGCCGCTGAGGCCGCCTTTCTCGTGCCGACGACACGGTGTCGTGATATTCCGCGGAGAGTCGGCAGTAAAGAGGGGGCAGCCAAATGCATGAGCCCTCCTGAGCAAATATATCTATATATGTATATACATATGTGTATACTATACATATATTCATATACATATATATATATATATATGTATATATATATATGTGTGTGTATATATATATATATATTCCGTGGGAAGTCCGCCATGAACAAGGACGGCGGTCAACTGCATGTGGTTTTCTAGCCATGTATATGCACATATACATATATATATATATATATATATGTCTATATATGTACGTGTATATATATATATATATATATGCATTATGCATTATGCATTACGCAAAACGCATTCTGCATTCTGCATATGCATATGCTGCATATGCATATGTGTACGCATGTATGTGTGTACGTATGTTTAGGCTCGTCGCTTCGACATTGAGCCTGTCGGAAGAAGAGTGTATGTATGTACCTATGTGTGTATATGTTTATGTATACACGTTGGAAATAGCTGCCTTCTCGTCGATGGTCGGGAAAATTGCAGCAGAACCCATGCGTGCACGAACACGTTCATAGGCTTCCTCAGCTGCGTGGGACGATCATCGCCGTCTTCAGCGTTGGGAAGACTCACGCTCAGAGTAACGTCATCTCGATTGGGCAAGAAGCCCCAGGCCCTAGAAGCCTCTATACAGTTTCAGTTGACCGGATCAGGGCCCCAAATACTGAAACCGAATTCCAAACTGAGGACGTGCGTGTGCGTGTGTGTCTGTGGGGGCATTGCTATTGCCAACTCGAGCCAGCGAGTCAGTACACGCGAACTGAGTCCTGAACATCCCGTGAGTCCCCGAGCCTCAGTCATTGGAGTATGCCTGTCACTGTAAAGGGTCCAGGGTTTATCGGGTTTCAACGTCAGGGCCTAGGACCCAAGGAAATGCTTTATGGTTAGAGATTTAAGGATGGTAGGGCTCGCGGTCTGCTTGTGGTTGACGGCTCAGGGTCTCGAGCTTACGGTCTTAAGTAACCCTTCAAAGCTTATTAAGCTTTGTAGGGTTTAGGGCTTCCTGTTCCTTCGGATTGCTTGGCCAAGGAGCCAAATTGAACATCTTCCGCCTCGGAGCAATTTCTTGGTGGGCTGCTCTTCCTAGGGTTTCGACGCTTCCTCGGACTCCTAGGACAAGGCTTCCTGGGCTTTGGGGTTTCCACAGGGCTCCTGAAATGTCCTCGCAAGGATTACGGTGATGGGGGGTGCCGAAGCTTCAGCCGTGTGCAGCCTTGACAAGAGAAATACACCCATTTAATTAAACATGTCGCTACACCCTAAATCCTAAAACCTAAACCGCAGAAACGTGTATACGTCCCGCACCCCAAGTTAAGCCCTGCCCCGTCCCACCGTGTAGGACACTCATCTCTCCGAGGCAACGGCAAGCCCTCGCAATTCAGGGTATGCAAAGCGTAGAGCATCACAAAGCCTCAGACGGTGTTTAGGGTTTAGAGGTAGGCTTGAGAGCTGGCAGAGCTTTTCGCGCTTTCCATGCTCTACATAACGGACACGAAGGTTCCAAGCTCTAGAGACTTCCGAAGCTCCGTTTTGAAGCCCGAAAGGCTTAGACAAGCTCTGAACCACCAAAAGACTCTAAACTCAAAAAACGCTGAGGACCGGGCCTCTTCGAGGAATTAGCCACTCCTCGATCCGTCGCAGGGCGCTTTTCATGTCGAAGCCCCGCACTGACGGAAGGCCGTAGTAGCCAACCTGGGCTGCGCGGGTGATGAAGAGAGGAGCGCATTGAAAAGACACGCCCCGTCAGCCACACTCATGATTCGCACAACTCTCGCATGCGCACATGTCTGCGCACCCTGTTAATCGTTGAGCTTTCCGCTTCGTGTCAGCTTTCCCCGCTGCGCAACTGTTTCGAGCTGCAGCCGTAAGCTTGGTATTTTCGGGACGACGGCAGCTGCGCAATACATGCCAATACCAGCCCCCACTGATTGCAGACCTGAAGCATCGATGTACATAACATCCTTGTCTTTGGAGTGTGGATGGTGTATGGAGACAACCTCGTGGTGCTTGTTCAGGTAGGGACATAGCCATATGGGATACACACCTGCGCGCAAGTGCCGGTGGCTCATGATTATGACCACTATGTTTCCACAGGAGCAACGGCCGTCTGATTGTAGACACAACCGAGGCAGATAGAGATTCGACAAATATCGAAAGGTCGGCGAGAGCGTGTCGTTTACGATGTTTGCGGCTCAGGTCTGCAGACTACCTCCATGGCGAAGGCGTAGATCTTTGGGCTCCGTTGGTTTAGAACCAGCAGCATGCTGTTACTCTAGGGTACTATAAGGTTACATGCTGGCCTAGGCATCGGAGCTGCGTCTACAGTTGTTGCTGCACATCGGGCCCACGGTTGGATCAACCTTGTAACGAAGGGGTCCTTGATCAGCTGGCACTGAAAATGAACCCTGAACCCGAAGCTCAAGTCTTCCGCAGACTTCCCAACTTCATTCATGCGTCAAATGCCATCTTCCTTCTTTCGGCTGCAAAGCCCCGAACACTCAAACCATCAAGCACAAAGCAGGCGCGAAATGAAGATCTAAAGCTCTACAACCTTAAAACTCAAAGGCCTCCGGTAGAGTCTCTAAACCCCTGTAAGCTTGAGAGCCCTTAAGCTCCAGCTCCAACACCCCTCTAGACTCTGATTGCCTAGAGCTTCGTCGCCCAAGTCGAGCATGGGCTTCAGCTCGGTAATTGGGACCAAGTAATCCTTCATCATGTAGATACATATGTACATGGGTATGTACGTATGCATGTATGCATGCAAGTATGAATGTAAGCAACTATGATGTATGTAGGTACGTATGTATGTATTTACGTATGCATTTGTGGGTCTCTGTGTGCTTGGGTGTGTGTGTGTGTGTGTTCGCGCGCCATTTACTTTTCACCATGGTTGCCAGTAATACAGGCATGCATGCATGCATGCATGCATGCATGCATGCAATGTACTTTCGTCTGTCCGTCCATCCCCATCCATCCATCCATCCATCCATCCATCCATCCACCCATCCATCCATACCTAATCGCATATGTATGTACACGCATGCATGCATACACAAACATTAGAGGGTGGCAAGTGTTGGCGCAAGGCAAAAACAGAACTCCGATCTTGAGACACTCCTGTCACCACACAACCCCGGTTGGGAAAGCCAGCAAATCGCATTCGGGGTGTCAGGTCTGGTGTAGCCTATTGGGTGGCAGTTGTGCATCCCAATCGCAATTACTCTAAATTCTGGAATCTGTGAGCTGCATGTCGCCCATGACAAGCTCGAGCTCTCCTGGATGACATTGACATCACAGTAGTACCTGCCACAGAGTAGACTGCAAGTCTTTGGCTTTGGAAGTCGAGAAAGTCGGCAAGTCCCCGTCAACATCCATCAACGCTTCAGTGTCTTCGTCCTATGCAAGTCTTGGTGAAGCTCGGTTTGGCAAGCCTGCAGCGACGCATTTCGAAATTCGGCACTGCCAGCAGTCAGCACACAGGTACAAGTATTACTTTGTCTATCATGCTGTCTTATTGTAGCCCAACCAGACAATCAAGCAACAGTTCCAACTTGCTTCATGGCTCCTAGCCTGGGAAGAATATTATTTCTAAGGCGCGTCTCCACAGGGGTTGTGCGGAATGTTCGACTGCTGGCACCGGTTCATGAGTTTCCGTCAGGACTTTGTTGTCAGGCCGGTGCCTTCAAGTGAACATGGAATATTGGACACTGAACACTGCACTTGGTGCCACCCTTCCCGAGCCGACCTCATGGTGAATTCGGGCTGGTATGACTTCACCTGGGCTTCTGAACTTAGCCTTCCGGCATTGGCTTCGACATGCTTCGGAGCTCTTTTGGGAGCTGTTTTGGGCATGGGGGAAGTATTGGCCCCCGAAGCAGAAAACGCAACCTCTCGGCAATGTCAACACAGACCCAAGCCTGCAATAATGAGGCCCAACCCTAACGCCAAAGCCTAAACCCCAAACCGCAAAGAGAGCTGAACTATGTGCCACAGGACTTGGCGAGTTACGGAGCATACTTCCCAAGCTAAGGAGGCCAGCTTAAGTTACCCGAAGTGTCTGGGGGTTTTGAAGCATGTTTTTTTCTGGGAGGAGGGGGGGTGCAGTTTGGGAATCTCTGCCTTCCACTGAAACTCCTTTTGCCGAGCGGCCAAGGCAATATTCAAGGGATTGACCCAGCCCAGGAGATAGCGGAACAGCGGTGTGTTCCCCCAGGGCTGGAGATAAGACCTTGCGGGGACAAGCGTGGCTGCGGGGTGTACTTGGATGAATCAAGTGACTTGACAAGCAAGCTACAAACAGGGTCGAATCGTCAGCTCAACCATATACATATGTATATATATATATATGTATATATATATATATATACATATACATATACAAATATGATACTTGTATTAAAAAAGTCTAGGCTTCATTCTTGTCGTCATATACTTATAGCAGGTTTACAAAGCTTTACCATGGTACCTACATATCTAGGCACATTTCGACATGCAGAAGCAGTAATGAAACCGGTCAGCACACCAAAGAGGCGCAGCGAAAATCTGTGATCGGCACGTCTGCGCTGGGTCTAAGTTTCTGAGCCTCGGGCAGCTCCCAAAAGATGCCTCAATGCGAGCCCCAGGGTTCACAGTCCAGAGCTTCGGAGGCATCAGGGGTTCGGATCGGGGTTCTACACAAGACTTAGAGGGGCTTCTGTCTGAACTTCTTTCAGGGGGCTGTAGGGCTTTAGGGCTCTTCGCAGCTCTTGTTTCGGGTTACGGGGTTCGGGACGGGGCGGATCTTCAGGCTTAGGAGCCCTAACAATGGTGAACACATCCATTCCTACGACCATTGCTCATGAAGTAGAATTTTTGAAAAGTTTAAGCAGAACCACATCAATTCTACCTCGTTATTTGTGTTGATCTGCTTGAACTGATTGTGGATTACGGGTGCTTGCGGCCGTCGTCTCGAGTTCTGGGTGGATCTTCGGCTGGGTCAAGGACAGCTGCCACACGAGGGGCGTTGTGCTGCACACATGTCTGGCCCTAACTTTGGCGGCTTAGTTTGGTTTGCGGACCCTCCCTTGCTACACTGCCACACCTACAGGACGCAACACTGGCAGATTCGACTTCCGTGAACAGCGTCATCAACTCACTCAAGTGCGTCAACAGCACCATTGATCCAAGAGGCTTTTGGAATGCCGGTGCAAGTACTCGTCCGTGCCTCGGCGCTGACATTCAACCCCGTGGTGGCCCATGAGCACCAGCATTGCGTGGACACTCCAAAAAACTTCACTGGAGGATTTTGAGTTGGGGTCTCAGGGCAGCTCACTCTCTTCAACCTTTCACTTCAACACAACATGCACAACTCTATTCAACAAACCTCCAGAAGTTAATTCTATAACCTGCAGGGCCGGAAAAATCAAGAATACAGATGAAGTGGAACCTAAGTAGCTGACCTATCTGTCTGTCTGTCTGTCTGTCTGTCTGTCTGTCTGTCTATCTATCCATTATCTATCTATCCATCTGTCATTCATGTACATATTGAAAGATAGATAGATAGATAGATAGATAGATAGATAGACAGACAGATAGATAGATAGATAGATAGATCGATAGAGAGATCGATAGATAGATAGATAGATAGATAGATAGATAGATAGATAGACAGACAGATAGATAGACACATAGACAAACCTATATCTCTTGCATGTACTATATATATATATATGTATATATGTATGTGTGTGTGCTGTGTGTGTGTGTGCTGTGTGCATATACACATGTACAATGTGTATGTACGTGTGCATGCACTCATGCGTGTGTAAATATAAGAAAAACGCAAAACGTCAAATAAACAAATCAACACGTGTGTGTATATACATATATATATATATACATACATATATATATATATAGAGTAGAGAGAGAGAGAGAGAGAGAGAGAGACAGAGAGAGAGAGAGAGAGATAGAAAGAGAGAGAGAGAGAGAGATCTGGGTAGACTGTTTACAACTCTATACACATGCTTATTATGAAGATCTCTCAGGCACGGCAGACCTAGAGCAAACGTCTGAGCTCTCCACGCATGTAGACCTGACCTTGGCCGGGATTTTGCCGGGGCGGGACATAATGCAGCGGCCTGAATAATTAGAAAGGGGTGTGGGCTCCTTCAGAGTATAGTTATTATACGGAATCCTGAGGAAAATTATTTATTTAGGCTTTTGAATTATTCCCATAGAGTCCCTAAGTGAAGTGTGCGAGAACGCCATGCCCCAAACCCATTCAATTTATCAAGGTCCCTACACCGCCTGCTTGTCTTCCGTGGGGGCTCAGGGATGCTACAATGTTTTGGTACGAGGGTTTTGGATGTTTCAGGGTTTAAAAGGATGCTAAAGGACGTTTACCAACTTTTTGCGTGGAATCTGGCTGCGCGCGTGATGTGCTGTGCTCTGCTCGGATGAATGACTGTTCACTGTTCGCTCTCTCGGAGCAATTAGCTGATCGAACATGCCGATAACACGAGTACTATACAACTTCCGAAGAAGCTCTTTGCATAATCCCTGAACTCGGAACCCTTCCACGCCAAGCAGCCATTCTTCAGCTCTTCGACCTGCTCCGACTTAGACTTAAGGAGTGGGTAGATTTGTTTTAGGAAACACTGCACGACAGGATTATGTAGTGCACTGATGGTACAGCATCGTCAAGATAGGTAGTCATACAACATGCAATGGCATCATCAGGCCACAGATCTGCGCATACACATACATCTATGCGCACACAGACAGCGAGTTGTGGTTGTATCCAGCCAGCTTACGTGTTGGAAGTCATGATGAAACATTTCGTTTCCGCACACATACCTCGTATAGGACAACCGACTAAACCGATGCGGGATGGACATGTTCTGAGACCAAGGCATTCTTTCATGGAGGGTGCCGTGACGCTTTGGCAAAGGCAGTTGCCCAAGGCTGTCTACCGTGAGCGTGGAATCAATCCTTTCAAGTCCCGAGTCGCGTGTTGCGTGATCTTCTTTGTTACGACTACTCTCCTCAAGAGTACGAGTGTTATGAGCAGTGGCCGTGATCCAGGCTCCTATCTTACGGTCATCGCAAGGCCCCGAATGAACGCCGGGATCCACTTCGCCTGCTTGAAGAACCACCGGTCATACCAACGGCCCAGTGAAAGCACCGGGCTGTCGCCTTTCGGAGCATCCTGAGCGATGGTTTCAGATGCAGGGGGTTTGGGCAAGTGGGAGGGAGTCAGGTTCGGGCTTTCGGTCCTTTTGATCGGTTTTGGGGCACTCCGAAGCCCTAACACTAAACCCGTCCAACATGGACTCCCAAAGTAGTCCCTCTACCTGCCCTTTTGTGAGGCTCCATGTCATTTTGGAGTCAGGTGCTTAAACCTCCAAGGATCAAAGAACCAGTCGCAGACTGACAGCACCCTAGAGCTTGTTTGAACCTTCAACCCTGAAGCGCTTCAAGTCCGCAGGCTGCAGCCGAGCAGCCGCAAAGGAGCCCTTCATGACCTGAACAGCTTACAGTAGGGGCACAGTGATATACGACGGTTATCATCCTCAATATGTTCTAGGATGTAGGGCTGCAGCTTACGGAGTAGGCTTTCTGCTCAAGGCTGGGGGTCTCTGGTGCCGATTACTTGGACATGCACCACGAAGCCCACGCTTATGCCTTGGCCGCCAAGGGCCAAGCTATTGGAGCATTTAAATCGCGGGGGATCCTGAAGATCAAACGATTCTGAAGTTTTTAGACTAAGGAGCGACTTCGGGACCTGAGGTTAAGGGGAGACTGTTGGAACCCGCAAATATAGGGGCCTGAATAATTACCAATATTGTTTTGGAGGTTCCTCATTACAAATTTCATAATGTATGATATACCCAATTATTCAGGGCCTAAAATTATGCGGGTTTCCGAAAATAAGGTACCCCTCATTTTCGGAAACTCCATCATGTTTCAGAAACTCTGCTTCCAAGGGACGACCGCGGACTTTGGGTTGAAGGCGAGGCCCTCTACAAATTCGTGGTCCCCTGCTGCGACAGCATTCCTGACGAGGGGCTGTTTGGTTTCGGGTTTGTAGGGTTGAGGGGGAGACTTCTGCACTTGAACAGGATCCCTCTTCTTCCCACTCGTTTGCTCCCTCTGTCATATCTGGCCCTGCTATTCGTGATGGTCTTGATAATTTGGCTTGGGGCTTATAGGGTTTAGGGTCGAAGGGCATCTCTCGGGATCTTCTAGGGGGAACTCTAGGTAGAGGATTTGTACCTGCACGATCGGAAGTTCTGCACTTTGTCTCACTCTTTCACATCTTCTGCTGCTGCTCTTGGTGGTCTTGGTACGCTCCCTCTGCTACTGTTGTCGCGAGTTACTCCGAACTTCCGAACTCCTGACTGTTCCCACCGTAATGGTAGCCCTGTATTACGAAGCCCTCAGCCCAAGTGCCAACATCACGAAACCAAAGCCTTGGAACCGAGACTCTGCAGCTTCTCGCAGAGGGTGTCTCGGTCTGCGCAATGTGTCAGCTCCAGCTTCACGAAGGGCTTCGCCTTGGGCAGACCGACTTTCAGCTTTGCTGCGTCCGCTGGCACGCACTGCCAGTCTTTTTAGCATGCAGCGGCTGACACTTTGGGTACGACACGCATCATCACCAAACTCGCACCGCGGCTACTTGTATCAGCAGCGCCGCATGTGCCAGAATATTTTGTAACTTTTGTAATACTACGTCAAAGAGCTTTGCAAGCAGCTGTTGACAACCAGCAGCACAGGAAGCAGGCTTGTACGACGAAGTGCGAACCGCTGCTACTGCTGCGTACTTGCTTTTCAGTTTCAAGGTTTGGAAGCCCTTCGCGCAGCGGTGACGCCTTCTTCGATTCCGTTTGCAAGCACCAAGAACAGCTTCCCGCTTCTTTGAAGCAGGGTTCAAAGTGCCTTAATTGGGGCAGCAGGAGGTTAAAAGTAGGCTTAGCTTGCTTGTAGCCATACTTATTCAGTCTGTTGGTCCTTCAAATTTCTGAAGTACTCAACTGCGCCATTCGGGTCCCTGACAGCAGGTACTTAGGACAACCATTGTGGGCTGCTGCAGAGTCTACATGGGGTTCTAAGATGATACGCTGTGAGAGCTGCAACCCAAACCCTAAAGCGGAGTGCCCTACTTAAACCCGAAACTGTCAACTCTGAACCCAGAGTGGGGACACGGCCGCCCATGCATCTTGCCCAAATTCGCACCGTGGTTGTCAGCAGCGCCGCATGTGCGCAAGAAACTGTTCAAAACAAGCTTGCAGAATCTATACAGGCAGCTCATATATTCATCGCAACACTACGTCAAAGAACTTTGCAAGCAGCTGTTGACAACCAGCAGCACAGGAAGCAGGCTTGTGCCACGAAGTGCGAACCGCTGCTGCTGCTGCTGCTGCTGCTGCTGCTGCTGCTGTGTAATTGCTTTTCAGTTTCAAGGTTTGGAGGCCCTTAACGCAGCAGTGACGCCTTCCTGATTCCGTTTACAAGCACCAAGAACAGCTTCCCGCTTCTTTGAAGCAGGGTCAAACAAAGTGCCTGAATTGCTGCAGCAGGAGATTAAAAGTAGGCTTAGCTTGCTTGTAGCCATACTTATTCAGTCTGTTGGTCCTTCAAATTTCTGAAGTACTCAACTGCGCCATTCGGGTCCCTGACAGCAAGTACTTAGGATAACATGCCAAAAGCCTGAAAACTAAGCCCTAAACTAGGCCCTAAACCCACCAAGCACAACCTCCCAGCTTGGAAACGTCACAGTCTACATCACAACAACCACTGATACAAATACAGCTTCTGCCTTCTGGTAGAGACTGGGAACACACCCGCCACATAAGGAAACGACTTGTGAGCGGGTCCCCTGGAGTGCCCTACTTAAACCCGAAACCCTCAACTCTGAACCCGAGCGAGTACACGGCCGCCCACCAGCTGGCATTGATCTGCACTCGCAGGTCTTTTATCAAAACGTTCGGTTATCAAAACGTTGGGAGACCTAACATCCTTACAAGACTTGCAAACGCACGCCTTAGCAACCAACCTGCGTGTTTCAGGGTTTTGGGGTTTAGGGTTATAAGCACAGGAACATGTTTCTGCGTTGCTGGGAAGTTCTACATACAGCTACCACGTCCCTTCGCAACCCTGGCAAACCCCACCCTAAACTCCTAAACTTTAAGACCAGACCGTACCGAAACTGGCGCTTAAATGAAACAGGCAACCTCCATCCAAACCCATGAACCCTAAACCCGCATGGAATCTGATGCAATCCCGAAGAGGCTTATACGTCTTTCACAACCGCGCACTCTCCTTCTCCTGCTGCTTGAAGCAAGCTTGTGTCTTGCTGCGTGCGGCAACCCAGGCCCCCTCACCACTATGCCAGTAGATCCCCTTCTGCTGCGCGAGCTGCGGCTTCGGCACCACCTCCTCTTGCTTCTCCCAACCCTTGGTCAGCTCCTTGGTCAGCTCCCGAACGAAGTCCTCTTCTTCTTCCGTTAAGGGCCTGTCAGCACCATGTACGCTCGCTTGCTGACCCTCACCGTCTTCTCCATGAGGTGCTTCAGAAGCCTCTTCTTGCGTCCCCGAACCCGTGGCCAGCTCCCGAACGAAGTCCTCTTCTTCCTCCTCAGTGAAGGGCCTGTGAGCACCATGCACGCTCGCTTCTTGATGCCTGTCACCGTCTTCTCCATGAGGTGCTTCAGAGGCTTGAACTTGCCCCGGCGCACAAACTCCTCGCGGAAAGCCATGGCCTCCTTCAGGGCAGCTTCTGCGGGGTGAGGCATCAAGCAAAATTGTCAAACAGCAGAAGGCTATTTTACAGCATCAAAAAAATTCCAAGCATCAAGAACAACTATTTCATAGAGTTACATTCTTGACGTACTTCCGGAACGTGGGGAAAACGTTCTGTCTTATTCTGTCCACCAGAACTTGCCAGTACTTGGCGGACATCATTCTGGCCGCCGAATTTTCCTAAATCCCGCCCATTTCTTGGGGAAAGCATTCTGGATGCCGTCGGGAATGCGCCCGTGCTTGGGGAGCATGCCGGCCGCGGTTGGGAATGCTCCTGAATCCTGCCAGGTGAGTGGTGGAAAGAGTTTTGTGTAATGGTTTTGAACCGGCAGCCACACCCCCCATTTGCAAACAAAATGCCTGCATAATGGGCTTTAAACTCCTCCTGTATGTCTTCTGTAGTTCTTCTTGATAGCACGGCGTTCTTCAGAATGAGTTTGAGCGGCTCAAAAACAATCGGTGGGGCAGGGGTGGGGCGCAGGCCCCTGCCCATTTGCAAAAACACTGCCTGCGTTATGGGCTTTGACAGGGCCGACAGGGTTCAGTTCATATGGCGGTGAAGCAACTCCGAAATCACAGCTAGCCGCCTTGAATACACATTTTCTTGCTAGCTTCATCGCTTTCTATACTGCTGAGATTTAGGGTTGTCGAGGATTGGGGGGCGGCGCATCTTCCCCCCCCCCCCAATTCGCAAACACCCTGCCTGCATGATACGTAGACTTTGGACGGGTTCATGCCGGTTTGCAGCGATTCCTCTGGCTGTTTTTGTCGACAGCATGATGTTTAGAACCAGCTTGCGCGGCTTGCAGAAGCGGAAGGGGGATTGGGGGCGCGCCCATCCCGCTCACAAACGCAATGCCCGCATGAAGAGCTTTGAGAGTTCATACGGATTTGGAGCACTTCCTCCTGATGTTCTTCTTGCTATCACGAGGTCCTTGAAAGAAACCTTGCACGATTTGAACAACATCAAGCGGAGGGGAGGGGGTTGGGGGTGTGAGGCTTGGCCTACTGGCCGACCATTTGCAAACACAATGGCTGCATGCTGGGTTTGAACTGGCTCATATGGTTTTCAAGCAATTTATCCCGCTGTTCTTCTCGATGGCGCGATGTTCGTTTAGAGCAGGCTTGCCGGGCTAAAAAGGGAAACTCATTGTTTGGAAGCAGTTTGTCTTGATTGCACGATGGTGGGGGTGAGTCCGACCGAGGTTTCGCTGGAGTAGCGACGTTTTCTAGTCCTCATTTAAAGTCTTGGGGCTGCTCCACAATCTTGGCCACCTTTCCCAACAGTCGCAATTTCTGAAGGCCAACACCCTTCAGATTTCAACCCCACAACTCCCAAAGCCGATATAGTGCTAAGTTTCGTTCTGGGCGCTGAGCATTCCATGGAACATGTTCTTTGGCTTTCTTCTGATCTTGTTCTTCCTTGATGGTGGTTTTCATCGGCCGCAGCCACGTTTGAACCTGCGGAACCTGGACTTGTTAAGCCTTCAGTCAAAACACCTGGAACACCGCATGGGGTTCCGAATTCCAGGCTTTAACACTTTGCCGTTTGGGGTTTTGGGGCTCGAGACTATAGGCTCAGGCTCGGCAATGTGGGATGGAAACGTTAAGTTTGGTATCAGAACTCTCTGCAAACTTTCTAGACCTGGTCTCGGAAACGGTGCAGGAAGCGAATAATCTGATCTAGGAGTTCGAAAAACAGGATTTGGGGAATGGTGTCTACGCGTTATTGAATCCCAGATCCATACGACTGAAACTGTTAATCAACATCACAAGGGTCACGCCAGCCAGCATGTCAAACTTGGAATGCATCGTCAAGCGAAGCTAGATTGTGGTTCAGAGTTTAATTGGCGTTTATCAGTTTAGAGTTCGTCTGGTTTGGACTTGGTCAGAACGATGCTGATTCTGCCGAGTTGTTGATTTAATACGGCTCGACGATGATGATGATGATGATGATGATGACGCTGTTCATGTAATGGTGAGGATGATGTTTCTTTCTTGTGGTCTTTGCCCCGCTCTCGTTGTCTCTGTTTCTGCCTCTATTACTAGTGTCTTAGTGTATCTCGTCTCTTATTCTTGCATTCATACTTTGTTCCTTCCGGTCTTTCTGCCCACCCTCCCTTATCTCTGCACTTCTTTCCTGCATTATTCTTACCTCGTTGCTCCAATCATCTCTTTGTCGCAGCTTTCTACTCCTCTTGTTCTCACATTCGTTATGTTGTTTTGCTTTAGTCCTTTTCTATTGTATGGTTCCTGTATGTTGCTCTTTCTTCTTTGTTGATTGCATTCTTGCGTCCGGTCTTTCTTTCTGTCGTTCTTTCTTTCTGCTCTCTTTATCTCCTTCTGCCTTCCTTTGTTGTGTTAATGTCTTTCTTTCTGCTCTTCTCCTTGCTTGTTCCTGGCTTTGTTTCTTGCTTTCCTTGTTTCGTTTTGGCTTTCTTTGTAGGAAAGCTGTTTTTGCGAGATTCGTCCTGCCGCTCTCCGTTTTGCATATAAAGCTGGGAAATGCTTTTTGATGTTTGGGCAAGCTTTTTCTGGATACCTTGGAAAACTGCTTGTCATTTGTCACGCTCGTCCTGCCGCTCTCTGTTTCGCCCGTACACTTGGGAAGGCTTCTCTCTTCTCTTGGAAAAAGCTGTTGTTGGCCTAACATTAAAAATGCTTGATTGCCTTAACAGCTGTTGTTTCATCCCCCTCCGAGGCCTCCGAGGCCTTGGCCTCGCGGAGGCTCGGCTTCATGCGCTTGGAAAGAGGGAACCTGCGAGCCGTCGCTGCTCTGGCGAGTGCGACGCCGCTTGGCCGCACTTTCCGCCATCGCTTCACTGGTGAGCCAAGACTGCCATGAAGATCTTGAGTGTGATGACTAGACGAGACCTCAAGCTCAAGAACCTTGGACTGCGAAGTCACAAAACTCTTAGCTCTCGCCCTCTTTTCCCTGAAAGTAGCGTCAGCTTCTTTATGAGCATGTGCCAGAAGTTGCTTCGCTGCCAAGGGCTGCCGGGCGACTGGAATGATGCGGAGCGTAGCCTCAATTCCAGTCTCGCAGGTTGCAACCAGCTTTCTGCAACACTTCAGCCCTCTCCGCTTGTTCTGAGCCGAGTTGCCGCAACTAGGATGCCGTGGGTGCCGTGGCTCCACGGCAGCGTGTAGAACAGCTCCTTGCCAGGTACTTGTAGTGGTCGGAACCAGGGGCTCGGAACATGCGACGTTTGTGCATCTACGGTAGCTACGGCTCACTGGCTCTGTCGAAGCTTCCGTTTGGTCGAAGCAGTCTTGGCCTTCCTTGTTCACTAACAGACCCATGGCTAAGCGGTGTTAGGGTTTCGCAAAGGGCAGCACCTCCGACATTCTGTTTGACTCCCTCTGAGGGCTTTGAGTTACAAGGAATTACAACTCAGGGTTTAGTTCACCAACCCTGTTTCCCCCGAAGAGGTCCTTGTCACTCTCCGGCGTGACCTGAAGAACCTGGCACGTGGTGTTGGTGCTCTTGATAGAGATCTTGTTCTTTTGGGTTTGTTTTAGAACAGCGGGGCTCTTATATGAAATTAGCTAAGGGTGTCTGCATTAAAGGAAGGGAGGCTAAAAGGACAAGCCATGCCAACCTGTTGTGTGTAGCTTTCAACAGACAGGAGTCACAACGATCTCAAAGGAGCCGTCTGAACACCGAGACCCCGAGACTCCGCGCCTCGCCGGTGCAGCTGACAAGTTCGTAGGCATTGCCTCGGCCCCATCACTCAGGAAGTTGCCAGTTTGAGTGGTTTGCTTTCTTGTTCATGGACCGAAGCTTCTGTGCATAGCAACTCGACTGCGCATGCAATCACCTAGCTGGTCCATCTGAGGGACAGTCGACACATGCCCTACACCAAGTTGAGGCGGGGTTGACAACGATCCGGAGGCGACGATGTCCAGCAGTCACGGGGACAACGGGAGTGGGTGTTAATAGAGGAGCCGAGCTCGAAGTCACGTCTGCTGTTGTCCAGCCATTTCAACATGCGATTCAGTCCACGGTTGCTTTGCGACAAGAACCCGAAATGCGCACGGACGAACACCAGTTCAGCCAGGTTTGTTCTAGTCGCGATCTGTCCCGTCCAAGGCCCTATAAGCCAGTTGTAAGCCCCAAACCTTCCTAGACCCCTCATACAACCCTTAAAAATTCGAGGAGCCCTTACAGCAACCTCTATGGAAAGTCCCCTGCCCTTTGCCCGAGCTGCAGATTTCGTTGAACATCCCGTACTTCCACGAGGTCGACTCGATCCCGCAACCCATGAGGAGCCTTGGCGAACAGCAGCACGGGTTTCTTGTGTGGTTTTACTCTCCAATCAGGGTTCTATCAAAAGGCTTACGGGCTTGCGGGTGGGTTGAGTTTAGGGGTCAGGGTTTTGGAGCTGGGATTTCAGGCTTGGGTTTGGGGTGCAGTCAGATCCTTAAGGAATCCTTAACCACTGATATCTGTATAAGAAAAAACAGCGACCGCGCTGACAGCATCCGCCACCATAATGTTCAATGTTGCTATTGCTTTAGATCTGGTCTGAGATAGCATTGCAACTGCAGTACCAGGACCTACTGTATCCTGCTGCTGTTTTCGTTGTGCCTATTGTCACTACTATTCTCGGCAGTGCCCACTTCTGTTTTCGTTGTGCCTATTGCTACTACTATTCTCGGCAGTGCCCACTTCTGTTTTCGTTGTGCCTATTGCTACTACTATTCTCGGCAGTGCCCACTTCTGCTATCATCTTCGTTGTATGTACTGCTACTAACATTCTGGGTAGTGTCAACATGAACACTGCAAGTTGTCGTTGGCACTCCTGTTGTCATTCTTACCAATAGCATGCTCCATCACCATCTCTACTATCAGTAACGAAAAAGCAAGATTTTCGGAAAGCAGTCATATCTGTATAGTTCGCCGCCAGGTTTTCAATTCCTTTGTAGTTTTCAGCCTCGGTCCCTCTTTCGTGTCCTGTTGCTGAGGTGATGAGTGTAGTGCAACCGACCAGTGTTGACAGTTGAATGCAGTAGACACCATAGCCATCACTAGCCCTGCAATTACCCCTACACGCACTGCGCTGTTTAGGAGCACAAGACAGCCAGACCCATCAACATGACACGACTGAGAAGTTCGGCCACAGCGGTGTTGCTGCATGATTTCTGCAGGCTGGGACAATCAGAAGCGCTTACTTAACATGCACCATCACCGCCATCATCATTGTTATCATGAGCATCATCTTCAGCATCACCATAGCCACCATATCCACCATATCCATGAATTAATGCGTGGATGAACTGTTCAGCAAAGGCCTGTCCGAGACAGTGGTGAATCACATGACTCGGTATCCATGCTTCTACCTGTAAGCGAACGAGCAAACAGTTGAACAACATGTATGTACATAGAACATGTATGCACGTGCAAATGTCTGTGTGCATCAGCGCATCCGCAAGCAGCCAGTTGAGCACAACTTCGCATGACAAACTTGCGCAATTCCGTCTGTCTCTTTGCACCATCCCAACTCATCATTGTCCTCTCTAAGGCCGTCGCTTTCAGAAGCAACTGCTACAAGTAGTGCGAACAGTACTCGTGACCCCAAAACCATGAGCAAAGTTCCCAAATCGACAGAACGAGGGACACATATATTTAAACCTAATCACCCCAATAAGACCGACAAGCCCGAATATTTACACCCTACCCCCTAACCGTATAAGAACTAAACCCGAACCTTATAGTCCTGAGCCCGAAATCTAATACCCCTAAACCCTTATCCCCCCAAACCCTGCACCCTAATACCTCTAAGCCCGAACCCCGAAGAACCCTGCACCATCCTTCACCCTAATACCCCTAGACCCTGCACCCTGCACACCCTAATAGCCTAGGTTCCCCAGTAGCCCCTTATTCATAAGGGTACCCTTTTTCCTACTATTTGGTTGTAAGAAGGGAACCCAAAAAGAACAAGGGCAAAGGGGTAAACCCTACACCCTAAACCCTCATAACCCCCCTACGGGGGAACCTAATAACCCCAAAACCCCTACGAAATGTTTGCAGAGCTACCCACCAACCGTCAGGTCATCGAGCTCCGGCACACAAGGGACCGTATAGCCTTGCCTGCAAATTCCATTGAGGCTTTAGGGACCTTAGAGTTTAGGAAGTTTAGGGAAGTTTAGGGTTTAGGGTTTGTAGAATTCATACAGGGTTTGTCATCTGAGTGATTCCAGGGGTTGTCCGGGCTCCGGGGTTCTCAGATACCCACCCTTCAAAGGAGGGTTCTGCCCTTTTGCCCTGGAAATCATACGAGTTTGGGTGAGACATTCTGGGCTCTGAGCCTGAAGCGACCCTTGGGCAAAGGACTCCAGTTCCTGATTACATTCCGAGTCCGTCGGCTTTGGAGCAGAGCGAAGTTTAGATTCTTAAATTTTTTAAATTTTTTTTAGCCGCTATCAGTCTCTACAGCCCGAGTCACGCAACTTGAGTGGAGTTGCTCTTAGTGAGCTGACGGCAAGATCCGGAAGATGCTCTTGACTCTTGACCCTACCGTTTGTTCCTGGGGGGCCTGAGGAGGTAGTGGGACAGCTCCACCATTCGCAGGCGTGGCTCCACGTAGACGACTCCTTTCTCGGTGTCAACCTGCACCGCGGGCGGCAGCTACACCAGGTTTTCATAGGGCTTCAGGTCCACAGCCTCCACAGGATTTAGGGTTTCAGGTTCAGGGCTTGAGGCTTCCTCTCTTGTAGTAAACCAATACTTTACCCTGTGCCAAGTAGAGAGCATGGGTACCAAGAGGGCCCATAATTCGGAGCGGCCACGGGATATACAGAAAGGCATCTTCTGCAGACACTCTTGGCGACGAAAGCAGCCGTAACTCCAGAACTGCCTTGTCCTAAACACCTCTAGAATGCGACCTGTAAGACCTTCAGAGACTGGAGACTTCTTTGGTCTTTCGAGGCGTGCATCCGAAGCACGTGGCGGCTGCAGGAAATTCGGAATTGCTCGGGGTCCTAAAATCCAAGGCTCCGCAACAGGAAGATTCCCCTGATCTCTGAAACACCTCGGGCAGCGGGCTGTAGTTTGAAGTTGAGAGGTCCCTGTCCCTCAACCCTCAACCCTACAACTTCTCAACCCTAAACCCTAAAAACAAAACGTATCCGCCCAGATGCTGCCTCGATGATGTTCTTCAGCTGACTGGTGTCGACCGTCCGCTTGCGCGGAGCTGCAAAGGCATGTGAGGGGTGTCCGTGTGTAAGGTACAACTTACTACATGGTACCATGAGGTACCAACATTACTTTGTAGTACAACCAAGTACCTAAAACCTGTACTAGGGGTTGGGGCTCATTTGGCTGACATCGGTCGCATCGCGTTTCATTAGGGCCTCCGGGCATCGTCACCTGGACACATCGTACAGTTCTATGACTCTCAATACTGTTACTAGCATTGCCATGGTCCCCTGAATCTCGATAACTGGGTAACCTCATCACCGTAAGCCCTAAACCCTACACCGATCTCTCGAAATCCGAGTGAACCCGCCATTTTGCTGAAGGGCTTAAAGGATCATGGGACTTAGTAAGCAGGGTTATAATTAGGGTAACTATACTTATAACCCCAACTAAGGGACTTATAGCCTTACTTACTAAGTCCCATGATCCTCCAAGGGGTCTCGGCTCCGAATCTGCCGAGTCTCGCATGATCCGCGAGCTGATCCGTTCCCGATCTGGCCGGGAGGTGAAAAGCCCACCTGGCAGAAGGTGTCTGGCTTTGGGTTTAGGGTTTAGGGTTTAGGGGCTGATTCAGTGCACCTGAAACAAAAGTTCCCAAGTTCTGGATTCCACTGGGCGTCGGTACAACTTCACGCCTTTTTTGTGCTTGGCTTTCTACCAGCCTTTGTTACAGCCTGCTTCCACATGTCGTACCAGATAGCATTCGCGGTCTTCTGTCTCTCGTTTTGGCGTTGCTCAAATAGGTCGGAGGAATGCTCCTCCCTAAAACCTCAACCCGATCCCACAAAAATGAATCGCAAAGGTCCTAGAATCCCACCCCCACCCCCGAAACAAAGGGACGTTTCAATTACACTCCAAGAACTCAGGGTAAAACTCCTCGCCGAGGCGCCCTCTTTTGCCTGACTCCTGTCAGCTGAGCTGCTCTGTAGGGTTTAGGGTGTAGGGTTTAGGGTCTTGAACCGAAAGCTTGCAAATTACGAGTGCATCGGAGGCACCCCTCCAAGCGTGACTGGGCTCTGGAAAGCCTATCACCCCAAAGCCAACCCTTTCGAAAGAGATGCCGCCGTCCTCACATCCGCAGATATTTTGGCAACGCGCGCCGCCTTGGCTTGGTCGACCATGGCCCCGACGCATGTACATCAGACACAGTTTTCATAGTTGAGACGTGAACACAACTGCCTACGCGCATTTGTGTCTGGCGCTTTCTTTCTCCTCTTTCTCCGTCTCCATATGCACATGTATATACGTACATACAGGTTAATACACGTAAATAGCTTGTATGTATGTGTATATATACATGCATA